AAGGGTGTGCAGGTGCAGTTGGGAAGTATGTAGGTTTGGACATCAGTTTTTTTCCCATGATTTGGAAGAGTTCCATTGTGTGGACTTACTACATTTTATTTGTCTCTATAGCAGTTCGCGGTCATTCAAATAGTTTTTGGTATTTTGCTATGAATACTCCAAATATTCGCATGCAATATATATTTTTAAAGCTTTTACTTATTAGAGAGAGACACACACAGCATGAGCTGGGGCGGGGGGTGTAAAGGGGCAAAGGGAGAAGCAGATGCCCTGCTGATCTGGGACCCCAGGGGGCGATCCCAGGACCCCAGGATCGTGGCCTGAGAGGAAGGCAGCAGAGCCTCCCCGGCGCCCCTGCAGGCAAGACTTTTGGAGACATTTGAGGACATAGAGCCAGTAGGAAGATTGTGTTTGGCTTTTTAAGAAACTGCCAAACTGTTTTCTAACGTGGGTGTACCACTTTACATCCTCACCCACAATTAGTACAGGCTTTTTTTTTTTTTTTAATGATATCCAGGAAATCATTTGCTGGTGACGGAAAGTCGAACCCCTATGAACCTCGTTTCCGGAGAAGGGATGGTATCACTTGCCTCCCTGTCTTACGGGCTTGTTCCTGATCAAAGGAGATGGGAACTTGTGTGCAAGTGCTTTGTGTCGTAAAGATGTTACTGGAGATCATGCGCAGGGAAGTTTTTGGCTGTTAAATTTAACATCTGTCCGTTTCAGAGACTGCGATGAAAACTTGCCCAACTTTTTAATACAACGTGTAGGTTCTGAGCAATCTTGTAAGGACGTTTTTAAACTCAAATTGTGCGCGCTCTCCGTGGGCTGGGCTGCCTGAAGTGTGCATTAAATTATCGGCCTTAGTTGACAGGCACAGAACCTAACGGCTTGCGTCCGTGGGCCGCTCTTCCTGCCCACGCAAACTCGGATGGTCTGGTCAGTGTCCGCGTGTGACCTCATGCCCAAGTGCCTGCGGGTGGCCTCTCTTCCCGACCTGGGCATGTGCCTTCTGTTCGCACAGAATGGACGCGGGACATCTGCGGGCTCAGAGAAACCACTGGGAAAAACCCATGTACAAATATCCACTTTGGTTTGTGCAGTTCTGATTTCACAGCAATCGCCAGTTTCAACTTTTTCAAGGAACAGAGGGAGGGTTTCGAATGCGTCTCCCTGCCTGCCGTGGAGGCCAGCGGCTGTCGGTCTAGTGGGAACCGGCCAATGGGCTTTAGAGCTGCGGCCTGGGGATTTCCTAGGACTCGCTTGTCCGCGCTCTTCACACCTGATAAAAGACCTTTGGACTGAGGAGGTTGAGCCCTGTGTGCCTTTGATCCTGTAGGACTGTGTCAGCAAAGGGCTTTATGGAACCTTCACAGGAGAAGGTAAAAAGTCCCACAACAAAACTCCAGTGAAAGAAACCACATCCCCGTGTGGCTTCTGGAAGTCAGGTTGGTGTTAGTCCTCGTGACAATTTATACCAATTCAGCAATGTTTCACAATAAAAATATTTGATTCTTACTAAGTAGACGATTTTTAAAAAATTTTTAAAGATTTTATTTATTTATTCATGAGGGAAACAGAGGCAGGGACACAGGCAGAGGGAGAAGCAGCCTCCATGCAGGGAGCCTGATGCGGGACTCGATCCCAGAACCCTGGGGTCACGACCTGAGCCGAAGGCAGATGCTCAATCCCTGAGTCACCCGGGTGTCCCAGTAGATGATTTTAATAATTGGGAAATACATGAAATCCATTTTGATAATAAAAACTTTTTTTTTTTTACAAAGAATAGTTCAGGTCCTAGCGAACAGTGCTTCAGATTTAGGATTTGGAGGATGGAGGAGCACTGTGGGTTATTGTTTCATGATTTTACCTGATGAGTAAAAGTTCTCACCGTGTAGAACTTTGAAATTTCCATTTGAGAGAGAAAGAGAGAGAGAGTGAGCGTGTGTAAGTATCTCAGAGCTTTAAAATGCGCCAGTCTCTAATGTGTAAACTAAAAAGAGGATAGAAATGGGGCGCCTGGCGGGCTCAGTCAGTCGATCATGCCACTCTCGATCCCAGAGAGTGGGATCCAGCCCCACGTTGGGTGTAGAGTTACTTAAATAGATAAAAGTAGTTCAGGCGCTTGGAAGTCGTCTTCTAGATGATCCGACGATGTGGTCGTGGTGTGGAGTGACGCGTGCGAGAAGAGCCTTAGAGGGTGGCGGCAGCCCGTGGTCTTCTTGGAAGCAGCTGTCCGCCGCTCGGTCAGGACGGACAGGCGGTCGCAGGGGGGATTCTGGGGGGTCCCCGAGTCTCAGTCCGAGCTGCCGCCCGGAGGTCCGGGACTCACCTCTGCGGAGACGGGAACTCACCGTCTTGATGTTCTGCGTTCTTTACGTAAGGCGGCTCCTGGACTCCTGGACTCCTGGACTCCTGGACTCCTGGACTCCTGGGCGAAGGCTTCACACTCCGTCTCTGTACGTGCTTGTGGAGGGTTTCCACCCCTCTTTGGAGGGAAGGTTGAAGAAGTGTGGACTACCCCCCCCCCCGCGTGTGGAGCGAGGGAATGCTGTGGGAGGGCGTCGAGCGAGTTGGGAGGGATGCTAGGAGAGCCTCGGCACCCCAAGGGAACTCCGGGAGCCCGTCACCGAGCACGTCGACCAGACTCGGGGTGGACTTGGGATCCCACGTCCCTGGCTAGTTCTGGTTCTGCTCCAAACAAGGTGGTTAATGGCAACAAGGGAGTCATTTTAAGTCAGTTGTTTTTTTTAGGATTTTTTTTTTCAGATTTTATTTATTTACTGATGAGAGAGGCAGAGACACAGGCAGAGGGAGAAGCAGGCTCCATGCAGGGAGCCCGACGTGGGACTTGATCCCGGGTCTCCAGGATCACGCCCTGGGCCAAAAGGCAGGTGCTAACCCACTGAGCCACCCAGGGATCCCCTTTTTTTAAAAGATTTTTAAAGAAATTTGTGAATAATCTCTACACCCAGTGTGGGGCAGGAACTCACAGCCCCAACATCAAGTGTCGCCTGCTGCACTGACTGAGCCCTCCAGGGGCCCCAAGTCAGATTTCTGTATCTTCTTTAATTTTCCCTCCGGGCAGGTAAGAGGTAACACGTGGCTGGGAGTGTGATAGCTGGCCATTACAGTGATCTCTGTGTTGTTATATTTTAGTTGTGCGTTGATTTTATTTTTTTAAAAAAACGTTTTATATATTTATGTGACAGCACAAGCAGGGGGGATGGCAGGCAGAGGGAGAAGCAGGCTCCCGGCGGGGAGCCCGATGCGAGACTCGATCCCAGGACCCCGGGGTCACGCCCTGAAGGCAGATGCTCAGCCACTGAGCCCCCCGGGCGCCCCTAATTCATTTATTTAATTAATGAATTACTCTAAGGGGACAAATAGTACGATGCGTGGGGAGAGCATGGGGGGAATGGAGGGGGTTTGAGACGTGGTCCGTCATGGGCTGTGTGGCGGTGCAGGCAGGGCTGGCTGTTTGCGTCGCCCTGGAGGCGGGACGGTGGCCCACTGGGTGAGTGGGGGTAGACCAGGCGTCCTGACGCCCAGCCCCGGCCGTGCCCATCACGGCCCCCGTACTGGAAGTCAGCTACTGGTTTTGCTCTCCATAAACGCAGTTCGTCGTAGCGGAAGGTGGGGGCGCCCGAGCGGCTCAGGGCGAAAGCGTACGACTCTTATCAGGGCCCAGGTCACGGTCTCGGGGTTGGGAGCCCCCGTGTTGGGCTCCGCGCCGGGCGCGGAACGTGCTTACCATTCTCATAAATGACTCCTTCAAAAACTCAGCATAAAGTGATGAATTCCCTTCTATATTATTTATCTCCCGCCAACTCTGTGTCAAGAGACTAGTAGCAGCCCCTTACATGAGAAGTTGAAGACCCTCTGATCAATAGATTTTAAATATTTCGCATAATATCTGGAATCCAAACACATTAAGTACACCGATGAATGAGGTTGAGATTCCTGGAGAAAGTTGTCCCGTGTGTCGTTTGAAGAGCTCACTCAGGGGTAGTATTTCCACGTTAACGCACTTGCGACGTGAGGATGTGCTTGTTTGGGGTGATTTTTGTTGGGATTGGTGACACTGAGCAAAGTAGAAATGACTTCATGAGAACTTAAAGCTCAGTGTCCCGCGTCCGTCACACAGAGGATTCTCTATCATTAGACCCGCGAACACCCGGTCGTCGCTTCAAACCTTTATCACTTGTTCTTGGAAGCAAGTGGTTTCCATGCTGTGAAATCAAGGAGGAGGCAGCTCCTCGTCGAAAAGGCGGATGCTGTGCGAGTTTCATTCATCTGGGGCCGGGCGGGGGCGGGGGGGGGGGGGATAAAACAGGGAAACAAACCCGATGCCAAAGGTCAGGCCGCAGGTGAAACCCCTGGGGTCTGGAGAGTGCGGCCTCGGGCCAACGTCCTGAGGGCCGGGGCGCGGGATGGCGGGGCAGGAGGCTGGCGCACCTCCCAGCTGGGTGCTGGCTGCGACCTGTGCTGAAACTTGTGCCCGCCCGGAGCGCGACCTTGCCGCCCGGGCTCGGGGCCAGCAGGCAGGCGCACGGGGCCGTGCATGGGGCGGGCGGTGGGGCCCGCAGCTGCAGAGCCAGAGGCTCTCTGAGGCCTGCTGCGCCCCAGGGACCTGGTTCATCTGGTTTCGGGAACCCCACTGCCCGGGGGCGGGTTCCCTCTGTCTTGTGATGCTCGGCCGGTTGCGGTGCCCCCAGGTCCGCCCGGAAGGCCGGGGCAGCGCCGGGCATTGGTGAGCCACCGGAGGTCGTCTGCGACCCCGCTCTCAGGTGGGGGGGGCACAGGCTCGCCTCCCCCGGGGCCCTCCGTCGGCCTTCCCCGAGTGGCTCCTGTCGGAGCAAATTACTGGCTTTTTAAAGAGTGTGTTTGGGGGGGTTTTCCCCTTAAAGGAATGGAGCGGCCCGTAATTTGGAGAGCGGTGATTGGCCATGGAACGCAATGCAAACTCCCCGTTAAATCGTCTTTTTTTCTGTTCGCAGGGGGCGCGGGTCTGGCTGAGAGAAAACGGGCAGCACTTCCCGAGTACCGTGAGCTCCTGCGCCGAGGGCGTCGTGGTCTTCCGGACGGACTACGGCCAGGTGAGCCTGCAGCCCCGCGCACCTGCGCCGGGGCACCCGCTCCGGGGCACCTACGCCCCCCCGCAGCCCCCCCCCCGGCGCCTTAGCATTTTTTCCTGGGGGAGAACCAGATCCCGAGAAGACTGTGTCATGTACACCTCCAGGGGTGGAGACCCCATGAGATTCTCCAAACGGATCGGACCAAGTGTTCTGAGCAGCGCGGGGCAGAGGGGCCACGCGGGGCCGCTTCCCTCCTGGGGATCTCGGCAAACACACCCCAATGTGTGGGGCGCACGCGTGTCCAGGAGGACCTCACAATTGCTGCTCTTTGTGAATTGGGCTCCGTTCCGCTTAACATCTGCAGTCTCCCGGCGCGGGGACGGCGTGGGCGGGGGTCCCTGTGAGAGCCAGGTCCGCGGGCCCCCTAGCCGGGCTGTGTGTCTGCCCAGTTGGTCAAATGAGGAGGCTCCTTTGGCAGGGGGATAATCCCCTGGTTCTGGATCCCAGTTCTTTATTTTTTTTTTTAAGACCTTATTCATGAGGCAGAGATGCAGGCAGAGGGAGAAGCAGGCTCCCTGCAGGGACCCGAAGCAGGACTCGATCCCAGGACCCCGGGGTCACGCCCTGGGCCGAAGGCGGACGCTCCACCGCGGAGCCACCCAGGTGCCCCCTGGCTCCCGGTTCCTTAGTGTGCCATAAAAGCTGTGTCACTGAAAATCAAAAAGGTGGATCCAGAAACTAGCTCACTGGTTACATTTGGGCGCTTGTCAGAGGAGGCGGCGTCTCCCTTAGATTAAGGCAGCTGATTTTAATGTCACAAACGGGTCCGTTTTTCAGAGGCACGTAGCAACACTTAAGACCCAAAGAGAGGCGATGTCACACGCCCGGATTCAAAGCTCAGGGTCTCCGAACCTGCAGGTTTTGCTGAGAACAGAACCTCCTGGGCGGGTGTCGCGCAGCGTAAGGCACAGGTGCTCCCTGGCTATCAGGCCTCAGCACAGGGCGCCCACTGGGCACCTTTCTCGTTTCTGGGCTCGGTAGACAGCGACGCCCCTGGGCTGCCTGGACCATGCGGTAATCGTCTTTCTCGGGCCTCGCTCAGCATCACAACCTCTGGTTCCGTCCACGTTGTTGCAAATGGCAAGATCGCTCCTCTCTGGCGGCCGGGCCGAGCTCATCGTGCGCACAGCGCAGCGTCTTTCTCCGTCTGCCCGCGGAGAGCGCGGCTCCTGCGCCCGTCTGGCTCTCGTGGACTCTGCCGCTGCGAACACTGGGGTGCAGGTGCCCCTTCGGGTCACTGCTTCTGTATCTTTGGGGTAAATCCCTAGTAGTGCAGTTGCTGGGCCCTGCAGTTGCAGGAAAACAGTTTTTAAACAATGGACCCGACTTGTTATGACTTCTGTTCCCGAAAATGTTGTGCCATAGATTTTCAGCGGACTTTCCTTTTTTTTATTGACTTGTTTTTTAATCCCAAAGATAATTCTTTTTAACTTTCCCTCCATCTCTTTAAAAAAAATACGGTAAGAACGCATGACCTGAAACTTAACCCTTTGTAAGTGTCTATGTGAGTAGCCTTAAGTATCCTCATACTGCCGTCCGAGGGACCTCTAGACATTTTTCTTTTCTTCTTTTCTTTTTTTAGTTTTTCATCTTGTGATCCTGAGACTCTCAACCTACCAAACAGTTCCCCATATCTCCTCCCACCAGTTCTTGGTAACCACTTTTCTACGCTCTGATTTTGATTACTTTAGGTACTTTGTGTGCAAGGGAGGGATCACTCACACAGTAGCTGTCCTTCTTTAGTGGTTGGCTTATTTCACTTGACCTAGCGTCCTTGAGGTGTTTTTTTTTTCATTTTTATCTTTTTTAAGAATTTATTTATCCATGAGAGACACACAGAGAGAGGCAGAGACCCAGGCAGAGGGAGAGGCAGGCTCCACGCAGCGAGCCCGATGCAGGACTCGATCCCAGGACCCTGGGGTCACGCCCTGGGCCCAAGGCAGATGCTCAACCGCTGAGCCACCCAGGGGCCCCTGTCCTTGAGGTTCTAAGATGCTTTCCATTCTGATCTCACGACGCTTTGCCCAGCAGAGGCTAATGTGGCAGCACCAGCCCTTGGGTGCTACTGTGTAGGACACGGGGTCTGGACCCTATGCCACGTGAAGCCATTTCCGGCCCCAGCTAACCAACGGCTCCGTGCACAGAGGTGGAGCAGGGTGGCCAGGCCCGGCAGTTGTGCTCGCTGTGGACAGCACGTGGGGATTGCGGGCTGACAGTCAACCGACCCAGAATGACCTGCACTGGAACGTGAAGCCAGGCCTCCACTGTGACCTCTCCCCTTCCAGCGGTCACCGAATACTTGGTCTTGGGTTGTCCACGCTGTCATCCTGCGTATGATGAGCTTGGAGATTTGTGTGGGAATTATAGGGCTGACGGTACAGGAGGAGTGAGACAAGACGGAAAGACTTGGAGTCAGATTTGGCTCAAGAACTGACGGTGGCGGGGGGACTCGAGTGTCCTTCCTCCTTGACCTTCCTCATCTTCTCACATCACACGCTCACTGCGGAGCCGCGGGGGGCGTTCACCGAGGAGTAGGGGAAGCTCGGGTGCTGGTCCGCAGGACAGGAGCAGCTACTCTGTAACGGGGCAGCAGCAGATTGTAGAAGGAATCGGGGTCAAGGATACCGGAGCATGGCCTTGTCCTCATTAAGCCTGTCTATGGCGGCTCTTCAAGGTCTCCTTTGAACTCCGTTTATTAAAGAGCATAAAGAAATCCGTGTGGGAAAGGAGGGGGGGAGTGAAGAGATATTGTTTAATGGGTACAGTTTGGGGACATTTCTGGAGGTGGACGGTGGTGATGGTTGCAGGACAGTGTCCATGTGCTTTAATGCCACTGAACTACATGCTTAAAGTGGCACTTTTTTTTACCTTTTGTACATTTTACTATGATAAAAAAAATCAGTGTTTGAGGTCACATGATAACTGGTAAAAGCTGTCAAACGGGTATTTTTTTTTTTTGCATTTAAAAAAATAATTCAAGGGACACCCTGGGGGGTTCAGTCATGATCTACGGCGTCCTGGGTTTGAGCCCACGTCGGGCTCTGTGCTCAGTGCGGGGCCTGCATCTCCCTCTCCCTCTCCCTCTGCCTGCCGCTCCCCCTGCTTGTGCGCACAGGCTCTCTGTGTCACATAAAATCTAAAAATAAAAAAAAATTAAAACTCTGGTGACGTTTTTGTTAGGGAAAAGTGACCTCTCAAAGAAACAGAAAAGCTCATGAAACTGTTAGTTTGCCCCCATTTGAGAGCTGCACGCCCCTAACGTCACATGAAGCCCTGGGGTCGGTCTCCTTCAGGTGCGGATTCGGATTGGCGGGTCTGGGGTGGGGCCTGCGAGTCTGCATTTCCCACGCGCCCCCCCCCCCACCCCGGAGAGGTCGGAGCCACATCTGGGGCGCGAGGGTGGAGAGGATGCCTGGGAAGCGCCTCGGGTGGTGGTGCCCACAGTAAGAGCCGAGGCCCCCCAGGACCCCCGGGACCCCCGGGACCCCCGGTCGCAGGGCTGTGGAGGACGCAGAGGTGGGAGGAGGGCCGTGGTGACGCTAGAGCCTTCCCCGGCCCTCCGAAGCCCTCCGGCCTCCGGCCCTGTGCCCCCTTCCTGCACCCGCCCTCCCGAGCGCACCCGGGGGCCGCCGCCTGCAGCCGAAGGACGCCCCGTGAGCAGAAAGCAGCATCGACGTCCCGTTTCGGGCTGGACGCCAAGCAGGGCCGTGTGTAACTCAAATCCTAACGCGGGACCTCAGGGACGCCGGGTAGGCAGGACACAAGTGTGTGTTTTTTGTGAGAGCACCGGAGGGCGCGTTCTCCGATTTCACTCCGGCTCTGAGAATTTTGCGTGTGCACTCAGCTGGGTTGGGGCCTTTTTTTTTTTTTTTTTTTTTTTTTTTTTGCCAGGAGATAGTTTTACTGTGAACTTAAAACTCCATTCCGCGCTAAAATTCAAACTACCGTAGGTTGGTCCGGGGAATAGAGGACCGAAACGTTCCCGTTTGATTTACAACTTGTGCTCTGCTCGCCGTGGAGTATTTGCAGATGGAAAAAGAAGTGTGCAAGAGACACGCTAACACACTTTGTTGAAGACTTGGCGGCCTGCGGAGGACACAGCTCCTGGGCGGGTCCGCGCGTGCCCCGCAAGTTAGTAGGAGACCCGTGTTGTTTTATTGCGCTTCGCTTTACGGAGCTTTGCAGACACTGCCTTTTGTTTGGTTGGTTTTTGCTTTTTTTTTTTTTACAAGAGTTGAAGGTTTGTGACGGGCCTGCTGGAACAAGACGTCGGTGACGTTGTTCCGACAGCATTTGCTCACTTTGTGTCTCTGTGTCACATGCTGGTAATTCTTGCAGTATTTTCAACTTTTTCATTTTATTTGTTAGGGTGATCGGTGATTATGACTCCTTTGAAAGCTCAGATGGCTGTTAGCCTTTTTTATTTTTTATTTATTTATTTTTTTTAATTTTTTTTAAATTTTTATTTATTTATGATAGTCACACACAGAGAGAGAGAGGCAGAGACACAGGCAGAGGGAGAAGCAGGCTCCATGCACCGGGAGCCCGACGTGGGATTCGATCCCGGGCCTCCAGGATCGCGCCCTGGGCCAAAGGCAGGCGCCAAACCGCTGCGCCACCCAGGGATCCCGCTGTTAGCCTTTTTTAGCATTATTTTTTAATCAAGGTACTTGCATCGATTTTTTTTTTAGGTATTATTGTTGCACATTTAATAGATGGCAGTGCAAATGTGACTTTTAGATGCACTGGGAAAACCGAAAAAATTCATCTGAGTTGCTTGATTGCAAGGGTGTGCAACAGAAGCTGCAGCTTTTCCGAGGTGCACCACCTGTGCGTGGGCGTCTCTTGGGCACTAAGCTGCAGACCCACGTTGGAGGAGCACCACCGCTCTGCAGGGCACGGTGTGGCTAGGGGAGCGAGCCCTGGGAGTGGAAGACGGGTCCCACGTGAGAACAGAAGTG